CGCCATCTCAGGGAGGAGAAATCGGTGGAGCTGCAGCTGAGAAAAGATTGAGTGTGTGTGTGTGAGGAAGTCCGCGGATTGGTCCATTTGGACCAATCCACAGACTTGAATAATGACATCCCATCAGCTAATAGTGCATTACAAACCCTATTTTTCGAATGCACGATCATGCTCATCAATCATTTTATTTTTCGAAAGGTTTTGTTTGACTCTGAAAATGGAGCTTAATGTTTCATTCCTTTCCTTTTTGTTGATAATAACAATTAAGCTGCTCGAGATGATTCCTAAAGAAAATAAGATCATCTCCCCCCCACCCCCTCAAATCTCATTGAACCTCTGGTCTCACTGCTTTCTTTCTTTGATCACAGATGAATAGCCGCACACTGAAGTACTGTTGACATTCTGCTGTAATGATGTGTTATTACTACTCTCCTGACTCAATTCCACACCACCAGTAGCAGTTTATTTTGGTATCTCTTTTTCAGCCCTGCATTGCGACATTTAGGGCGTGATTGTGTAATCATCATCATACTCCTGTAAAAAAATCAATGGCAGGTCCATGTTCTATTCCTGGCTACTATAAATGGCCCTTTTCTAAGAGTAGAGCCTGGAGAGAGAGAGGGGGGAGGAAAGGGAGGAGGCAGGAGAGACTGTCCGATGCTGGTTGGCATGGTAACCTGTCCAGGTGAAAGGCAGCCTGGGAGAAGGGAGGGAGGGAGGAAGGGAAGGGCTTTTGTCTCAGGGGAGTAGCCTATCAGCAGCCAGCCTATCCCCCACAATCCCCTGCAGGCTTAAGTGTATCATCACTGCCCTCTGGGTTTGTGTGGAGGAACAGGGCTCTCCTCACCTCCACATCAAAGACATGTTGTGCTGTGCAGTAAACATACACTACACTTATTATTATTTAACTCACAAGGCTGCAATGCTTACTTTTTACTAATGTAAAAAATACAGCAGCTGATTTTCAGGAATAATTATAGGCTGAGAAACAGACATGGCTAGGTCTGCAACACAATGCTTTTGGAGTAACAGCGTACATGTTATAGGATGACCTTATTTGGATACAAAAAGTGTATCTGTATTTCCTTACAGTTAAATAAAAAATACTAACTTTAGAAGTATCTTTTAAAAAAATGTATTATGATGTTACAATACATTTGAAAATATACATCCATTCATTATAAAGCACATGCTGACACGTTAAAATGCAGTACTTGTTTGTTAAGTAAAAATGCTCTGAATGCTTTTCATTTATTCATGAATAAAACAAAAAGCATTTGTACATTTTAATAATCTGGGAGCCTGTCATATAATTTAACCTATCATTTAATCTGGAAACCTTCCTTGTAATCTGTTAAAAAAAATACTGCTATAATTACGTATAGTGTAGTATGCTAAAACAATTGCATAATATATTCTGTCTCTTTTCTAATGTTACATTGTTCTGTTGTCTTACATAATACACTTATGTAAACATAGGGAAACGTCCTATTCATATTTATTTTCCTTTTTATTCATTTGCATTGCTTTTGATGCTGAGGTAGTCCAAAAGTAATCAGGTTACATTACCTTAATATTCTGATACTGAGATAAGGATGCCAGTTATATATTTTTTAACAGTTAATTATTAATTGTAACGGAATACATTTTTTAACAAAAGACTGTTGGTTTCTTAAGAAGTATATATATATTATTGTGCTCAAGACTTCATTCAAGCACATCAAAATGTCTTATCAACCTAGATTGAGTCTTTCCAGACATGATCATAAGACACATTGCTGATTTTAACTATGGCTGATATAAAATAAAATGTATGATGAGTTCCCCCTTGTTTGCACACATGTGTGTTAGCTGTGTGCTTTGCCCCATGTGTTGTGTTCAAGGCTGATTAGATATCAGGGGAGTTGATGCCTAATGAGACGGGGGACTCCCTCCTTCTCCTCCTCCTCTCTTCCCTTCTTTCTTTTTCTCTCGTCACTCCTCCCCGTTGTCCTGTTCCCATAATGCCACTGGATATTAAAGAAATACATCAACACAGCAATTACAGGTCCACAAAGTGTGCCTCAGGGCTGGCTCAGCTGCACTGCCTGCACACCCACACACACGTCTGCACACACATGCATATACACACACACACACACACACGTTCTGCTGCATGTTTAAACACACTTACACACAGACGCACACTTTGCATGTGCTTCATCTCTGAGCCCTCTTCATGTTGCATAGACTCTTCCATTGTTGAGGATTTGTCAGCTTTGTATCTCCACCTCCTTACACATTTTCATGTCAGGATGCCATGTTGCAAAATAGATTTAGTTGATAATTACAACAAATTAACTAATGAGATGCTGACTGGCTCACCAGTCAAACAAAATTGACTTCAATAGTGAAATGAGGCACATACTGTAAAACCACGTAAAACACAAAGCAAGCAAAGTGAGTTCAGTAATGATTTAGAAAATGATTATAAATGCAACATTCAACAAATGTTTCCCTTTCTGGTTGAATTAAGAATAGACATCTGTTAAGAAAGTCTGATTTTTCAAATAAGTTCTTGAAATACTGTGAAAACAGTCTTAATAATTCTTATTTATCTGATTAATGCATCAATCTGGCCTTTATAAAACATAAACAAATAAGTATATCGCTCCCTTTTATCCATGTATTGGATATCTAAAGGTTTTTCACGTGTAGTTGTCAACAGCTGATCATGCTAAACATTTGAAATATATGTTAAAAAAAGCCTAACCCTTTTCTTTTACATCATATTGTTGTAATTTCTGAATCAGTGCAGGATTCTTTTTCAAATATTACATCGTCCAATCAATCAATTGCATCAATACGTCAACAAATATGTGCCATAACCAGAAATATATTGTATATTTGACTAAATGCCTCCACTCCTTACAGAACACACATCTTCATTTTACTGCCATTACACAGTTTCCACCTCTGGTCCACTTTCACTGCAAAATGAGAGAAGTTAGCACTAAAACGTTATCGTTTAAATATAGCCTGAGCTTTTTCTCCTCCCCTCACTTTTCCAAATATGTCTCACAAAAAATTCATACTTGTCATGCAAAATAAATCAGCTTTCTTTTCCTTAGCCGTGCGCCAAATGGCTGCAGAATGAATAAGAGATGAAGCTTAAATGTTTGCAACCTCTTGCCTGACACTTCACATCACATCACTGGAGTCACGCTTTGTGTACTTGTGTTTGTGCGCTTGCAGGAGCTTGTGTGTGGACGTGGGTGTGAGTGTGTGTGAGCATCTGGGAGCAGAGGGTTGTTATACACTCTGCTGTGGGTGTAATGAGGCATGTATGTCGTTAGTGTGCGTTTAGTGTGGTGTCTTCAGAGTGTTGTTAGAGCATCGCTGAGCCATTTAGGACCCTCAGATAGAAGAGACGCACAGAGGCAGCTCTCCATACAACGTTACAGGGAGGCTGTATGTTCAGTTACACAACATTAAAACGGCTGGGAATGCTAGGGTCCTTTTCATCATAGTTGCTACAGAACGTGTCAGACTGTGTGCTTTCAATTTTACAAATATTCCTTGACCTCTGAGTGAAACGTCACGGGGTTAAGGGATAGTGGATAGGAGAATTCAAAAGGATTTAGGAGAAGAGACTGCTGTACTTTAGAGAATCCGACGTGTTTATGATGCGCCAGCAGACGTCATTTTGTGCGTCTGCTACTGTGGGGAAACTATGGAAACTACAGTTTTCTATACAACGGACTAAAACATGGACGTTTAATAAGAACGAGGGACTAAACTCACCTAGAGACTCTGCACCGTGATCTGATGCTGTTGTTTTATGCTTTATGAACGTGGACAACAGAGAAACATATTCTTCGTGACCAAAGTTGGAATTTAAATAAAAAAGGAAAGTGAAACTTATGCTCGTCACCCTCTCCCTCCGGTCTACATTAATACACATGATCCCAATACGTATGATTGTATGAACTATGAAAATATCTTAAAATCAATACAGATGTATTTATTATAAAAGTTTGGAATTGGAAGCCAGTGCAGTGAGGCCAGAATTGGGGTGATGTGGTCACGCTTTTTGTGGCCAGTCAGAAGACGTGCAGCTGCGTTCTGAACTAGCTGCAGGCGTTTAATTGACGCCTGGTCCATACCCACGTACAGAGCGTTGCAGTAGTCCAACCTCGACGTAAAAGGCGTTAATAACACTTTCCAAGGTCTTTAGAAGATAAAAAACGACTGACAATAGTCTTAATTTAAAAAAGCAGTTTTAAAAAGCAGGTTTTTTACATCTATTCCTATCACTGTGTATATCACCACCATTCAAACATCTTTTAAAAGTTGAACAAACCCCACACAGCTCAGTAAAGACTGTGAAATGTTGACTTTATTTGATCATTTCAGTAAAAACTAACGTTCATATTTCCGCAAGGCATTGTGGGGCAGCATTTTCTCCTCTCCTTTCGGTTAGGGAGGTCCAGTGGTTCCGAAGCTAAAGGAGGTTATAAAGGAAGTTTGAAACCTCCTTTCCTATCATCTCTAGAGAATTCGAACGGCACTTATCATGGCTGCCACTGAGGGACTTCCGGGTCATTTCACTCCATTAGGAAGGTTCCTAAGCTAAATGGACTATTCGACTGCAGCCCCTATTTCAGAAATCGCAGAAAACAATTGACCAGGTGCAGCACTCATCAATGCGCCACTCTATGACACCTATTTCTTCACCATCTTTAAGCCTTTCCGTGCAACTTTAGCAACTGCAGGCTAACTAGCATGCTCAAGTTAGCAACAATAAGAGAGTTAATGTTTTGTACAAAATTGTTTGTCTTTCCCTGTAGAATTCCTTTTGTTTAATCTGTCAATCCAAAGGTTATTTAAACAAGAGAGATGTGTCTCCTATCAACCAACATCTATCAGTTAGAAATCTGATAAAGTGCCAATTTGATTATTATAGAAAACTAATCTAATCGATTCTTCATCTCTTTTTCTCCTCCTCTCTTCCACACCAGTCCCTGCCATGATCACATCGTACCCCAACACCACGCTGGCCACTCAGGGCGAAGAGAAGAAGATGAGCTGCACGGCCCACGGAGAGAAGCCCATCATGGTGCGCTGGGAGAAGGAGGAACGCATCATCAACCCGGAGACCAGCCGCTACGTGGTTTCTGTCAAGGAGGTGGGCGATGAAGTCATCTCCACCCTGCAGGTAAGACGCTGCGCCACTTGGATGAGTACAATTCAACTTGTCGCCATATAATATTGGATTCTTGATGTTTATTTTAAATATGATGCAACAGCATAATCAAAGTTTTTTCTCTTATTAAATACTGGATACTTCCTTTAGAGTTCTGAATATTTTCGGGAAAGATTACCTTTTTTCTAGAGATACAGCGTTGAATTGGGGAGAAAATTCTGACTTCCTTCTAATGACATAGTTTGGTTGAACTCCTCACCACTCTGACACAAGTCAAAGGTTGTGGGATACATTATTGGACAGAAAACCACTCCATTCAAATTAAGATAGCACATATTTGTTGGAATCAATACCACAGTCAGTGGACATCCAGCTGCATAGTGTTTTTCATTTGACCTCATCTTATTCTTGTGAGTCCCTCAGATCATGCCCACAGTGAGGGAGGACTCTGGCTTCTTCTCTTGTCATGCCATTAACTCGTTTGGAGAAGACAGAGGAATCATTCAGCTCACAGTGCAAGGTATGACTTCTCCCAGCTCAACTGCTCAAAGAAAAACACACTTTTTATTCAGATAATGCAGATTAATACTTTACCTACCAATGCCTGCCCTCTTAAATTCAGTAAGACTGAAATAACAACGTTTTGTCAATGTTATGCCTCATAGAGCCCCCGGACCCCCCAGAGGTGGAGATCAGAGAGGTGAAGGACAGGACCATTGCACTGCGCTGGACTATGGGTTTCGATGGCAACAGCCCAATCACAGGCTTCGATATTGAGAGCAAGAACAAATCAGGTACAAGAAAATACATTTATATCGATATGGTACGGTTTTACAATAAGCTAAAATTGTTTCAAATAGCATTGGTTAAAGACGCCCTATTATGCTTTTTGGGGTTTTCCGTGCGTTGTATAGGTTGTTGTGCATGTAAATGGTCTACTAAGGTTAAAATCCCTGGGTTCCCTCCACTCACGCTTCTATTGGCTAGTACTCCCACACATTTTACATAATAGCCATCCAGCTAACCAATCAGAGAACACTTGGCTCTGGTTTCAGACAGAGGGTGAAAAGAGGTTCTGCAGCACAGGCAGTATGAGAACAATAAAGAGCTTTTTGAACATTAAAGCATGGAGACATGTCACATTAGTACACAAAATACAGATATGAACCTGAAAATATATGTTATGTAAATATATATTAGTATACATATTGTGTCCCCTTTCAAAATTGTAAGCTTGTAGAGAATGTTGTTTTGTGTCATTTAGTTTAGTTTTGTGTCTTAGACGCTTTTATCCAAAGCCACTTACATACTGTACATTTCAATACACACTACATGTCTCAGGAGCAATTTTGGGATTGACCCTCCAATTTGGAGACGTCCATTTTATCCCCTGAGCCACAGCCGCCATCTTGGTTGATTATCCCTCCCCCTATTCATTTTCTTTAAGCACTATGATTGAATATAGCCCGTCCGAGTGCACTTAGCTTTGAGTTCTCCCCAATAACCCCAATAAACCACTGCAGCCTCCTGGGATACGGCTCAGAAGACCAAAGATGTCTCACCTCAGCTCAACCAGGCCACCATCATCGACCTGCACCCCTCCTCCACCTACAACATCCGCATGTTCGCCAAGAACCTGATCGGCAAGAGCGAGGCCAGCAACGAGCTCACCATTACCACGGACGAAGCCGGTAAGAGTCTGTGTTGCATTCTACACTGAAAACACTGAACTACTGGCTTTAATTAAATGTATTATGTCAACATATATCACATGACTGTATTAGGTTAGTTGAAAGCAATAATATTAAGTTTAAATACAAAATATAAGGTTCAACTTAATATAAAGTCAAAGGTTTCATTTTTTCATTGTGTATAAATGTTTCAGACACTCACCATTCAAGTATATCATATATAATTAAAATTATAAAACATGTGAGTGTGTGTGTCGAGGCAATAGGAGGTAAAGGGCCAACAGAGTCAATTCATTAGCCGCCTGGTGACCTCAGCCCCATTGTCTCTGTTGCATTACTGAACACGTGCTGACCTTGCACAAAACGCACACAATTTCAATTAGTGGCCTCAGTAGTAAATGTCACACTACGGTCAATAGACTGAGGCTGGACCCCATCTGGACCCCCCCCCCCCCTCACTGAGCACTTCTCACCCTCAACTATAAATAAAAGCATCGCATCTGTCAAGATAGCGGGATCCAGATCTCCTCTGGACGTTTGTTTAGTAGGTTTTGTGCAGATCAGCGCTGGTTGTGTACAGTTTTATAAGGTGTACATGTTGTGATCTCAGCTCCTGACGGACCGCCTCAGGACGTGCAGCTGGAAGCCTTCTCCTCTCAGAGCATCAGAGTCGCTTGGAGGGTAAGTTGATCCGACTCTGTGGGCTGAAAGTGTGTGTTGTTTGTAGCTGTGAATATTAAAGTGCTGCACTGATTATCTCCCAGATGTGACGCTCAAGGACTGTTCCCGACTCAAGGAAGGTGTTAAAAGAACAGTGTGTGTAGCATGCTGTATTTGTTGTAATTATAAATCTTTATTCTAATGTGTGATGCAGTAGGTGGGGTGACTAGTGTTTTTTAGGTTATCATTTTCACATCATACATTTGTTTTATTTAAATTGTGTGTGTTTTTCTCAATTTCAAAGGTTGCACAAGAATGCATCTGAATGTTTTCAAATGATGATGTAATCACATTATACATCCCCCCTGTCATTGTGTTTAAACATGGGAAACCTTGACTGCTGTTTAACAGTCAAGGTCCCCTCAGCCAGCTAAGAGAGGATAGTGATGGCACCATGAAGGCATCAAACTACATACATATGTTATAAGAGTTATAGGTGTCATTTAAAGCACTCCCTTCTTTGTAGATTGCTTGATAAATTAGATTTTTAAGAACTCAAAGGAGTCATTTCAATGTGTTTTTACTGGTTCTACTTTGTATTTACTGGTAAGAAGAGGGACTTGCTCTTGTAACACACTTGGGACTTTATCTATGTAGGTGTGATGGAGGTTGCCAAGCTACACCATACCATGTTTGTGCTTTTTTTATTCATTTTCCTGGCACCTAAACATCATGAAATATATGTGTAAATGTGGGGGACACTGTCCAGACAGTTTTCTTTAGTTCATCAGAATGGTGCTTGATCTGAGGATGTTATTTGATATATTAGTATCTAACTATTATGTTTAGATGTGTCTTGGAAAATGTGGTACTTCTGCACTCAAATAAAAAAGTGCAGGGACATTCAAACCCATTATCTGGAATAACCGTGTCATTTTATTGTCAGGCCCCGAAGAGGCACCTGCAGAACGGGGCCATCAAAGGCTACCAGGTGGGCTACAGGGAGTACAGCTCGGGGGGGAACTACCAGTTCAGTGTGATCAGCGTGGAGACCACAGGAGACAACGCAGAGAGCCTGGTGCTGGACAACCTGAAGAAGTTCACCCAGTATGGAGTGGTGGTGCAGGCCAGCAACAGCGCAGGGACGGGCCCCTCCTCCACAGAGGTGGCTGCCACCACGCTGGAAGATGGTGAGCACAGAGACAGATTTATGGGGTTATATCACAGCCTAGTGGAGATCAGAGGGTGCTGCCACAGTCTGCTAAGAGTCAGCTGTTTCCTCCTCAGTGCCCAGTCGCCCTCCAGAGAACGTCCAGGCCCTAGCCTCGTCTCCGGAGGTCATCTCTCTGTCCTGGCTGACGCCCCCCAAAGACGCTCTGAACGGAAACCTGTTGGGCTTCAGGGTCATCTACTGGGCCAACCTTCCTGATGGAGGTACACAACAACATATGAACACAAATCATCATCAACTTTGTCCCGGTCTGCTTTTCCTAACCTAAAGCAGCTTGATCGCATTCTAATCAAGTGTATTTAAAAAGAAAAGCAGCCATATCCCTAAATTGATCAAAAAGACAACACATCCGTTATAAACCAGAAGACACAAACACATCCTCAGATGGTTGTGATCTTTATGGTTCCCTGTGGCTTTTTAGCTTCTAAGTATTGCTATGGAGATGTTATAAGCGTTACCTTTTTTTTAAAAGAGCATCCCACTGTTCCTTATTACACAGCTATAAGAAGCAGCAGGTTTTTTGTTGGTCTTCGTTATTATTCAATCTAAGATTAATCTACAGTACATTTGCCATTTTCTCTGCAACATCCAACAAGCAACCTGAGCAAAGGAAATAACATTTACCTCATAAACAGACATTTAATATAAAAGTACTTCTTTCTGCAGGAATATTGGAGTGAAAAAATTAAATAAATAAACAATGTAAACATACTGTTTAATATATATTTGTATAAATAAACAAACTGTACTGTCCGGTGGATATCTTATAATTGAGAAGCAATAGAGTGTCCTTAGACATTTTAACGCAACAACATCCATATTACATATCCATATTGTCTATATATTTTGTTACACACCTACGAGCTCTGCTGCAACACAGCAGCAAAGACAGGGAAGAAGGAACGTGAACAATGCTGGATTTAAAATACAAAAACATATTCTCTGAGAGAGAAATCCCCCTGACCTGTCACACTTCAAAGATATACTATGCATTGTGCTGAGTCATGCTAATGAAACCACTACTTTCACAGGGCCTCTTTAAGTGTACTGGACCAACCAGAGCTAAGCCGCTTAACTTTCTGCAGGGAAAACACCCTGCATATGTCAGGGCAAAATGAGAAATATATATGGTATAAGACAAAATTAGGCCAATCATTGTAACTGCAAAACCAACACTACAATTCTAGAACAAAAAAATCAAGAATAGATCATATTATATGGTAAAATATTGCTTTCTAAAAATGTTTTAAATGGAAATAGTTTTCTAACCAGAAATTCAATTGTTTTTGTATTATTAATTAATGTAGAAAACCGCATTGGATTCCAATAAATCACATTAGTTTGTTTGCTGAGGTAATATGACTCATTATTGTATCTATACAATGTACTGTGCTGCAGACAAAGGTTATGAGCTAAAAACAATGTAAATGCAATCTTTATTTATTTAATTAATTACGATGATATACTACGCCTAAGAGTAGTTATATTGTTTAGTTATCCAGGTGTATTCTGGGTATTTCTGAGTAACCTCCGATACTGGCCAAGTCTGTATGGTCCTGTTGAAGTCAGAGCGCATGATGTCACAGGCCGGCCGTGTGTCCGAGTGATCGGTTGTGACAGCACGATTACCTTTGACCCCCGCTCTGTCACATCATGTCGGCACAACGTGAGCACTGCAGACAGCCAGCAAGAGTCTGCATGGAAACAGTGTGCAGCTTGGAGTCACATTTTGGTGTTGTTTATAAATGGCTTGGTTTATATTCTATGTAAATATAATAAAAACTATGACATTCAAATCAGAATAAAACATATTTTATTTGTCACACAGCGTGGAATTTTACATCATTACAGAATTGGAACAGTGCAGAAAATTAAAATAAATGAGTAGATTAACATTAAGTAAGGCGTATATTTAAATGAAAATAGAACATGCAAGGTGTCAAAAATAAGTAGCAGCATTATAAGAGTTAGTGAACATATCAGAATCAAAAGTACTTCATTATTAAATTAAAGTAAAATTGGTAAATTGGTCAATTGAAAAAGGATATAAAAAACAGTGAACTAGCATCAAGTACTAAGAATATCTTAAAAACAGACATTGCACAGTGGTATTTAGAAAAGTGTTGTCACAGTGTTGCAGCCAACAAAGTTAAACTTTAAAAGTATATTTTGCACAATATAGGCAAGTGTATTTTATTTATATAGTCAACACTTCACATGTATCATCTTAACATGCATCTCTTCAAATCGGACTGTTTACTATTATATCTATAATCTCAGAATGTAGCCGTATATCAGTATGACCCGATGCAATGTCCCTGACCAGCAGAGGGGGATGCAGGCAGAGTGTAACACACAGTGATGCAGAGTGTAACAGGCCATCAGTGCCAGTGCTAATGGGTCTTTTTCAGACAGTTACACTTTTGTTATATTAGGGTTACACTGAATTATTTCAGACATTTGCTGAAAGCTGTATTTGAATGTGCTTCTACACATACAGGTGTGCTATTTCCATTCATTTAATAAGAAACCTGAATTTGAAAATACCTTTGACCTGAGGTGTTCTTTCTGATTCTCACTTAACTCTCTCCGTCCTTTTTCCCGTCCATTAGAGCTGGGAGAGATCAGGAACGTGACCACCTCTAAGCCCTCTCTGGAGCTGGACGGACTGGAGAAGTACACCAACTACAGTATACAGGTGCTGACCTTCACCAGAGCGGGAGACGGAGTCCGCAGTGAGCAGATCTACACCCGCACCAAGGAGGACGGTAAGAAGATGATTTTCTCTCCAGAACACTGCTGAACTGTGAGGCGCTGCTAAATGGCTTCCATACATTTCTACAAGTATCTTCTTAGTATGAGCATTGTCCGCTTCGCAACATTGATAATATTTCCTGCATTTAATGATCCCCTTTGGTAAAAACAAGAAGAGAAAGCTGCAGGGTCTTTAATAAACCGATTAGGCGGAGCGCTCTTAATGTAACTTATATGCAGTCCCGTAAAAAATGAAATTTGCCATCTGTTATCTTGCTAAATGATAATCAGTGTATAAATGATGTTAGCCTAGTGTGGGAAATATATCAACTCAATTTGTATCCCCCCTCAGTTCCCGGGCCTCCGGCGGGGGTGAAGGCAGCAGCTGCTTCTAACTCCGTGGTGTTTGTGTCCTGGCTTCCTCCTCTCAAAGTGAACGGCATCATCAGGAAATACACCGTGTTCTGCTCCAACCCACACCCCACGGTATGTCAACGTTTTCAAAAACATGGAATGAGATGTTCAATACATTGCAAGTATTACAATTCCGTGAATTAAATCTATGAACACATTTAGCATTTTCGACGAGTTGAATTGAAAAAGAACTGATCATGTATTGGTCTCTCAGTGTTCTGCAGCGTTATAGTGTCTTTCAGCTCCTTGTCTTATTTTTTCAGCCCACTTTAAACTAGCATTCAGCACCAAGCAGCAGGGTGACCATGCTAGTGAGCAGCCAGGGAACATTGGGAAGTATATACCAGCTAAAGAGCCAGTACTCAGAATCATTTATGTTTCCAGGGAGAATTTTTTTATTATGACAGTGGCTCAACTTTAGAATAGAAAATATATTTAAAAAGTAGGAATGTGCAATCAAAGCATAACATAATAAATACATGTATTATATTATATTAACGTAAAATGGCCTATAATCAAATACATTTCAAGCATTTGTTTACATATAAGATTGTTAAAGTACAAATATGCACATAATCAAATACAGTATTTACAGTGTTGTATTAGTATTCATAAGATATAAATGCTATTAGTCCAGTGTCAGTATTCCAGTAATGCTGGGTGAATTCAGAGGTGATTTCAACCACAAAGTTAGCAAAATACATTCACTAAAAACAGAATTCAATTGCCAATTGGTGTGTTTGTATTAGTAACAGTTAAGCTCTATCACAGAGATAACCTGATATACACTATCATTCTAATAATACACACAGGTATCAGTGAGGATTTCATAGTTTTTATGGTATCTGTTTACAATATATATATATAATATCTATAATATCACCAGACTTATTCTTTAGCATTCATTAGTTAGTTTAATAGTCATTGTGCAGTATTTAAAGTGAATGGATGAATGTGTTCCCACAGGTGAGCAGTGAGTTTGAGGCGGCTCCAGATGTGTTCTTCTACCGCATCCCCAACCTGAGCAGGAACCGTCAGTACAGCATCTGGGTGGTGGCCGTCACCGCCGCCGGCCGGGGGAACGCCAGTGACATCATCACTGTCAAACCCATGGCTGAGGGTAGGTGCCGCTCCTCTGTGGTGCAATACCAGGCTGAATAAAGTACTCTACTGTGTACCAAATGTGATATACATGCAAATTGATGTATGCAAGTGCATAGAGGTTTATGTCAGCAAGAAAAAGATGCACATTGTGTCCTTGGGATGCATCTTTTTGGGAACATTTCAAATTCCAAAGGTTTTATTGTCATATACACAATAGCCACAGCACAACATACAAAATTCCTAAGACACAAAGAAATAAGGAAGTAAAAAAGTGCAATTAAATGCCAGAGATAATATATCAGGATGAAGCTCAAGGAGTAAGTTAATGAAAGCATTTGGGATCTAACATGTAAAGTATCATGTTATTGCAGTAGTCCCAATTCTTAACTGTTTATAATATTAGCTCCAGCTTCTCTCACCACACCTCATTTCCCCCATGTGGGTGTGTGACAGTAGCTTTTTCCTAGTATCTGGACAGGTGGGGGAGCATCCATTGAATCTGATGACCCTGAGTCTGACCCTGTTAACACTGACATGCTTGGTGAGAGCTGATAAGCTGATTGAATATGCTGATTGACACCATGGCCTCCTATCAGCAGCCTGTCGCAGGGCTAGGTGATGGATGTCCCGCCTCCCCTGCTCCCCCTCCTCAGATGGAGACTGTAACCCTGACTGTAGATTGAGCAATAATACTAGAACACACAAAGACAAGGTTAATTGAAAGCCTTGTTCAAGGAAAACTGAGGATGAAGTGTGCAGTCACATCCTCCATCTGTTCTGAAACATTCTCTGGCCATATCTATCCTAAACAGGGAAAGCAATAAAGATGAGGAAATTTTGATGACTCCTCAAAACCCTGGACATACCTATATATAAAGTCTAAAGTTTTAATAGATTCATTTATGTATATACTTGTAGAAAGGAATTACTGAACAGTGACTCTGTGAGCTAAGGGAGTAAAAGAGATTAAATGAAAGGATAGTGCTTTGTGAAATCTTTTGAAACACATTTGTTTCTGCATGTCCTCTGATGCTGAAGTGTTTGTGTATTTGTGCAGCTCCGGCTCGGATCCTGACCTTCAACAGGACAGTCACCACCCCCTGGATGAGGGACATCGTGCTGCCGTGTAAAGCGGTGGGAGATCCATCTCCAACCATCAAGTGGCTGAAGGAGATGTGAGTACAGTGATATAAAGGATAAAAACATCCTCACAAATGTGTCCCTTCAAAGATATGAATTCTAAACACATATATGTTTTAGCAACGGAACCCCAGCACCTGTTGTGATTGACAGCCGGCGCAGCGTCCATGGTAACGGCAGCCTCGTTATTCGCACGGTGAAAGCAGAGGATTCTGGGAACTACACTTGCGTGGCCAGTAACAGCTTCGGTTCAGAAAAGATCGTCCTCAACCTGCAGGTCCAAGGTGAGACGCTCAGATTCAGAATACTTTATTGTCCATTAAATTGACATCAAGTGGAAAATGTGTCTTTGGAAGTGTTGTGCTAGTTACTGAAAACCAGTAACTAGTTACCATTACTAGTTACTTCATTTCAAAAGTAACTCAGTTACTTTACTGATTACTTACATCAAAACACCATTAGTTACTTAAAAAAGGGCTCCCATTAATGCCCTTATAGCCTTCATTTCAGTACTGTTATTGCATAGGAGAATAATACAATNGAAATCGTATATTAGCCACATGCTAAATGCTAACCGTAGATGAAGGATTTTCAGAATAAAAGCTTAACTGCTTGTGCACAAGAATTTCTGTTTTTTCAGTATAAAAGAGCGTTTAAACTGACGGTATGTTTAAACTACATTATACCATCAAAACATTGATTTTAATTTCTAACAATACTTCCTGTGTAACATGCGGAGACGCGCTGTGGGCGTGTTTGTGTTTACTAACAAGACTATCATGGCAGCTGCGGAGCTCAAGTCGAGTTTCTCCGCCTGGAGATATTCTCACTATTTCACTTTTATCGAGCACAAAGAAAAGAACATACACGATTTCTATCTACTGCCCAAAACAGCAATTCAAATATGTTGAAACATCTGCAGAAACAACGTGATGGGACGAAGTTAGTAGCTAAGACCACAGACCCAGACTCATCCGACGCCACTCCACCTCCACCTAAGCAACAGCGGCTGGATTTTAACGGAGGGACTGCTAGCCAGGAAAAAGTTGATAAAGCCATTGCCAGGTATGTTGTAGAACACATGCAGGCTATTTCTACTATTTCTATTGCTATTTCTTGATCAACAGATTGTATTATTCTCCTATGCAATAACAGTACTGAAATGAAGGCTATAAGGGCATTAATGGGAGCCCTTTTTTAAATTCAGATAAAAAAAATAACGGAGTAACGCACCATGTAGTAACGGTAACTGAGTTACTGAATTTAAAAAAGAATGCGTTAGAGTACTAGTTACTGCCAAAAATAACGGCGTTACAGTAACGCGTTACAGTTTGTAACGCGTTAGTCCCAACACTGCTCTTTGGTACCGGCAAATAAAACAACAGAGCAAAACATACATTTCACACATGATACACAAAAAATATATATTGCATCTTAAAGTCTAAATGTGACTAAGGGGTCATAATAATAGTGCCAAGTGGATTGTTCTTCCACTGTCGTGTTGTCGGTCAAAGAGGCCCTATCATGCTTTTTGGAGTTTCCCTTCCCTGCAATGTGTTCTATAGCTTAGCCTTAGATCAATCATGAACATAAGGACATCACTACGTCACACTCTCGCTTCTATTGGCTAACGCTCCTACACATTAGGCTGATAGGTGATAATGATAGGTTAAGCGGCTTGACAACTCTAAGTGGTTTGCTAGCTAACCAATCAGAGCAGACTGGGCTCTGGTTTCAGACAGAGGGTGAAAAGAGGCAGTATGAGAAAAATAAAGACCATTCTGAATTGAACCTGTGGTGGACATTTCAGTTCTACACATAGCTTTCAGTTAAGACAAATCCTGTGGCTAACAGAGTAACCTCCATGGAGTATTTGTGCCAATTGTAGTGCTTGTATACACTTATATATATTCAGGTATCTGCAGCACTATTATAATCACTCATGTTTGGGTCTCTCCTTCAGTTCCACCGGACCAGCCTCGCCTCACAGTAACAAAGACAACCACCACGTCAATAACCCTCTCCTGGATCCCTGGGGACAACGGAGGCAGCTCCATCAGAGGTCAGACAGACACGACCTGCAGGAGTTTTAGTGTTTACCTTTCTGTGGATTTCTTCCTGTGCATTAACACTAATTTCCCCACACGCCTCCCCTCCAGGCTACATCCTGCAGTACTCGGAGGATAACAGTGAGCAGTGGGGGAACTTTCCCATCAGCCCCAGTGAGCGCTCCTACAGACTGGAGAACCTCAAGTGTGGAACCTGGTACAAGTTCACACTCACTGCCCAGAATGCAGTTGGGCCAGGGCGCATCAGTGAGATCATTGAAGCAAAGACCCATGGGAAAGGTATGAATAAATAACACATAATGTTATGTTTGATAATTTAGAGGTGGGATTTTTTAACTGAGGTCTTTTATATAACTTTATAAATAGTGGGGGTTGCATATTTTAATAATATGGGATTGCAGTATTTTTTAATGAAAAAACTTTCAAGAGTCTTTATTTTTTGCCATAGATTGTCTCAGATTTACTTCTCAGTAGTAACTTATAGTCAAGTGATAAATACTTGTCCTTTTAACAAGAAGAAAAAGGCCTGTTATATAAATCAACAATGATGTAATAAATTCATTTCTTTAATCACACTTTTCCCCCTTCCTAATAATGTAAAATTCAATGTTACTTGGTCAAATTAAATGTTACAAATAAATGGAAATTGTCAGACAATTGTGATTGACTTTTATTATAACACAAATGAATCTAGGTATTAATCAACATCAAATAAACAGAACTATTTTGATGATCCAATTTCTTTGAAGCAAAAATGCTCAACAGCTTTAGCTTCAATTTAAGTTCCAAAAAGTTTGATATTTTTTTCTTCTACAATAGTCAATCACTCTTTGAGTTGTTTGTTTGACAAAAAGGCATTTAAAGACAGATCAACTTAACTGAGACACCTTTGAGGCCTTTTGTTTTTAAGCAAAGTATGAATGTAGGAGACAGAAGGCAGATGATTGATGCCCTGTTCTCCTCTCCACAGAGCCTCAGTACTCTAAAGAGCAGGAGCTGTTCACCAGCATCAACGCCACTCGGGTGAAGCTCAACCTGAACGGCTGGAACAACGGTGGCTGCCCCATCACCTCCTTCACCCTGGAGTACCGGCCGATGGACGCGCCCTCCTGGACCACGGCGCAGCGCACATCCCTCACCAAGAGCTACATCCTGTACGACCTGCAGGAGGCCAGCTGGTACGAGCTGCAGATGAAGGTCTACAACAGCGCCGGATACGCTGAGAAGAGAGTCAAGTTTTCAACTCTCAGCTACGATGGCAGTAAGTGAACAGAATAGCGGGGGATAATACGAAGCATTGAAATATCCTGTCTGTAGAGCAGGGAACTGCAGCTGCATGATCCACAGAACACTGACACTGACAGTGGAACTAAGGAGACTCTTTGTGGTAACTGCAGCACACTGAGTCTCTCTCCATAGTAGTTTTGAGGCAAAGAGAAGTGCCAAAAGCACAGCTAGGCTGCAGTTGAATAGTACAACAAATCATTTCTAGCACTGTGCCTATAAAGAAAAGCGCAAAAAAAAAAGCTATTAAGTGAAGAACATTAAATGTTGACTTTATCTGATAATGTTATACTATTAGCGTCACGTTCATAGTTTTTACTTTTAGTTTAACATTTTATTAAAAGATCAAAACATATAAGCTAACTTACATGATCTGCATTTGTGGGTCACGATCAGTTGTTTTGTTGAACGGCCGAAGGGTGTGTCACTTTAAATATTGCGGCCATGAGACTTGGAGGATAGCATTATCTCCTTTTGTTTCATAAAGGCTGGTCCAGTAAATCCTATGCTAAGGGAGATGTAACGGAACGCATTGAGGATCCTTTCCTATTGTCTAGAGCAGTGGTTCCCAAAGTGGGGGGTGCAGAGGCATGACAGGGGGGATGCGAGAGACCAGGAGGAAAAATGGTTATAAAAAAAGAAAAAAAAAGATTAAAAAAAAGAAAATCATAATTTGAAAAATTATTGATTCGAAAATAATATGATACAGTACAGTGCTATTACATCTGGGTCTCTGTGTTTCATTAAAGCTCGGCTCTGTGTGTGTGTGTGTGGAACGAGCCATTTTGTGTGCGTGCGAGAGCGAGAGAGAGCGCACCGGTACCGGAGATCGTTGTTGTTAGCTTCCGGCGCTAGCGAGCTACGCTAACGGATATAAGGAGTTTTTTCAACAACAAAGTGGAGGAGAGTCCTCTCCTGTCAGACTGAGAGACTCAGTGAGCTAAAGGACTCTCAGTGTTATCTCAGTGGGTCTCAAACGTTTTGGTCACCATTAATGTAAACAATTATTTCCGAGGCACACGTTTATATGATCATTATAGTTTAAAAAAAGTAAGAGAATAAATGAAAAACAGGTATAATACTATATGAAATACTATATGACAGTAAAAAAAGAATAAAGTTTAAAAGGGTGATTTGTAAAATATCCATAAAGAAAAACTCAATAGCGCCCGGTACATTAATGGGAAACCCTAAATGTTTGAGCACCCTCTATGAAACGTCAAGCTACCCCACAGCACCCCCAAAATAAATCTCTGGCGCCGCCACTGAGCCTGACTATTTGTGTTGGGGGCGCCCAACTTTTTTTTTTCTCCAAAGGGGGGGCCTGACAGAAAATGTTTGAGATCCACTGGTCTAGAGAATTGACTTGGGTCCTTTCATGTTTCCTAAGCAAAAACGATTTTCAAAATCCACCCTAGAGTTTTCCAACCCATTCACTTACTCCTTCACTCACACCCTGGAGATGAAGACACCATCAACCTGAGCATATAGCTCTACAGCATTATTTACTTTGCATTTACTCTAAGTGCAGGTTGGCAAAGGAAAACAATCCTGAAAGAGGTCATGATGATATTAACAGAGTTCAGCAGCTTTGGTGGAAAACTGTACGAGATTGCTTTGGAAAACAATTCTAAACTTTTTTACATCATTTGACAATGACATGAATGGTTAGGATTCAGGAAGTGAAAATGATGTCTTGCAGCACATTGATAGATCATTATCATCACACATATCTTGTGTCTTCTGCACAGGTACGATCGCACCTTTGGTGAAGGCCCCCAACGTAAGTGAGGACCACTCTGGAGGCGGCGAGGGCTTAAAGATGATGGTGACTATTTCCTGTGTGTTGGTGGGCATCGTTGTAATCTTCATCGGGCTGCTGGTGCTGAGGAGGAGGAGGAGGGAGCAGAGGCTGAAGAGGCTCAGAGGTGAGAGGAGAGGTCATCCAGCATGACACATTTAAGCCTCTACTCTTTTATGTAAAACATAAAATGACTGTCTTCTCTCTATGTTTTTCAGATGCTAAAAGTTTGGCTGAGATGTTAATGAGGTAAGAGTTTTCAAGACACTAAACTCATATGGACACATCAATGTCAACTGAGAGGAATTCATTACGACAACTGATTCTGATAATTAAGTGTTTTTTTGTTTTGTGCTCTGCAGTAAAAACACACGTCCGGCAGAGCCAGTCAACAAACAGCAACAGACGCTCCGCATGCACATCGACATCCCCAGAGCCCAGCTGCTGATCGAGGAGAGAGACACCATGGAGACTGTTGGTACGTTCTGCTGACACAGGACAGGCTGCGCTGTGTCCTGTTTATTGTTGTGCTAAGCTTGTTTTTGTGTCCCGCAGATGACAGGTCCACTGTGTTACTGACCGATAACGACTTCGGGGAAACCCAGAAACAGAAGTCCTCCACAGTCACTCACACGGTCCACTATCAGTCCCTGTCCCAGGCCACCGGCCCCCTGGTGGACGTGTCTGACGCCAGACCAGGAACCAGTAAGTCCAGTACGAAAGATTTTTTAACTCCCTAACACATAAAATATATCAGTGACCACATAATAACAATATGTGGGCTAAGGATAATCACAGGAGCCGTTGGATGTCAAGCACGTCAAAAGGCAAAGGAAAGTGGTGGAGAAAAATTAGGTATGTCATCGTTCAATCTGGTCTGGTAGACGTACTGAAGACAGAGGAATACTTATTGGGAGATAAGTAGGGAATGGGATATCTAGTAATGGAGGAATGAAGTTAGGAAGGGATGTAAGGTTGAAGGAATGAAGGGAGTAAGGGAGGGATGAAGGGCAGCTTAGCCAGAATGACTTTATAAATGAACTAGTAGTGATAACTGAGCCTATTACAGGTCATACATGGCCAGTCAGCCCTGGAGTAAAGCGTGCAATGATGAGTGGCTTTACAATAGTAAAGTTCATGTTTCCTTGTAGAAGGTGATGAGCTCAGGGCCTGTGTGCAAAAACTCTACATTCACACGATAAGTGATTCAACCTCATTCCACCAAAAGGCTTTAACTTCAACCCATTACAGTGGATGTAAAAAGTGTCATAAAAAAGGAACGTGTGGTTGTTAACATTCTGGAGCTTTCATATGGAGGAAATGATTGTTATTATTAATTTTTTCATCCATGTATTTATCATATTAGAGATCACATTTCATGGTATTTCATCCAGCCTCTATACATCAAACTATACTTTTCCTATTATGACAGTTGTCTGCAGTTAAAGACCCAGGTGGGACTTGAACCCACAATCCCCAACTTCAGAGGCTGATGCCTTGTCCGTTAGGCCACTGGGCCATAAATTGCATGTTAAAATATGTGCAACTAGTGCCATATGTGTCCAGATATTATAGTTGATGTTTTTGGAAAATGTGGTGTTAGATGAATGTGTTTCTATATAGTGATGCAGCAGTGCAAACTCATTCAAAATACATTTTCTTCAAGACAAGGGAATGAAAGAGCTAAAACTAATTTCCATGTTTAGGACTCTTCCCTGCATCACTCATTTATCTTTCCTTAAGTTAAGTCATATCCTTCCCATGAGCCTCACCAACACGCTGCGTTCCCTCCTCCCTCTCAGACCCTACGGCCCGCCGCACAGCCAAAGCCGGCCCGGCCGCTCGCAACCGCTACGCCAGCCAGTGGACCCTGAACCGCCCCCACCCCCCGGTCTCCTCCCACACTCTCAGCACAGACTGGAGGCTGCCCACCCCCAGAGTGGCAGGCTCTGTGGACAAAGAGAGTGACAGCTACAGCGTCAGCCCATCTCAGGACACAGGTGAGCCAAATATCAGTGTGACACTACCAGAGGTGGAAAGTAAGTACATTTACTCAAGTACTGTACTTAAGTAGAATTGTTAGGTACATTAGTATCTCCATTTTCTGCATTCTGTATTCTACCCCACTACAATTCAGAGGTTAATCATGTCCTTTTACTCCACTACATATATTAGATACCTGTAATTACTTTGCAGATATCGATTAATGATATAAAACATCATCAACACTTAAATAAGACTTTAGTTACACCTGGGCTAAACTCACAAACTACTCAGCAGTAAATCAAATAATAAAGAGATGGGCTCCACCTTTACCAGCTATAATAACATTTATTAATGCATTCATAATTATATTCAAAACATATGATGTCAATCTGCATAATGATTCCTTTTATTTTTAGTACTTTAACTATATGTTGATGCTGATATTTTTATGCAATGAAAAAAAAACTGAAATGTCGACTTTAATTAAATGTATTCAGTTATCACATTTCACATAACTGTATTAGGTTATTTGAAAGCAATAATATTATGTTGAACCTAATATTTAGTTTTCAACTAACCTGATACAGTTATGTGAAATCAGTTGACATAATATTTGTATTTATATCAACGTTCCAGTTTTTTCAGTGTGCTTTTTCTTGAGTAAGATTTTGAATGCAGGACTTTTACTTGTAACAGAGAATTACCCCTCTGGTATTTCTACTTTGACTTAAGTACAATACTCTTTTCTAACAACAAATCAGTACCAGCTGCCATTTCACATTAACTCTAACTCTAACCCTGACACTAATCCCCACCCTAACCCCGGCCCGTGTCCAGACCGCGCGCGGAGCAGCATGGTGTCCACAGAGAGCGCGTCCTCCACCTACGAGGAGCTGGCCAGAGCCTACGAGCACGCCAAGATGGAGGAGCAGCTGCGCCATGCCAAGTTCACCATCACCGAATGCTTCATCTCTGACACTTCCTCAGAGCAGATGACGGCAGGCACCAACGACTACACTGACAGCCTGACCTCCAGCACACCGTCCGAATCAGGCATCTGCCGCTTCACTGCCTCCCCGCCCAAGCCTCAGGATGTCAGCCGGGTCATGAACATGGCCGCGCCCAAGGCCCACAGACCGGGTGAGGCCCCAGATCTGTCGGCCTGAACCCCGACCGCATGCTAACCGCAATTACAACTGGCCTCATTGCACTGCTGATACACTAAAGCTTAACTTCCTGTGTAACATTAATACCCAATCATTAACTGGGACTCTAACGCCAACAGTGAATCAGAAAAAGTGTTCCACAATGTATTCAAATTGATGATAGTCTCAGTTGGGTCCAAGAATTTAAGAAAGTGGGAAGAATGAAATTGAAAATGAATCTGAGTAAACAAAGTAGGACATTCCAAAAATATTCAAACATTATTTTTCAAATTATAAAAATACATGATAACTCTCGCTAAGCCAAAGCAGAAACTATGGATATTGTTTTAAAACTAAAGGATAAATTGCATTTTATTTCCTTACCAAAATGCACGATGAGGGTTTTAACTTAATGAGCCGCACTTCCTATGGATGCTCCGAGCTCTTAATAAGAAAATGCTTTTCGATACAGCCTCCGCTATCAGTGAGGCAGATCCAAATCCTTCTGCAGATAGAAGTATTGGTTTAAATCATTTTATATTTCTGTAAGTGTTTTGAGATATGAGGTCAATATCAGCAAGGGTTAGGGTTTCATGTCTGTGTGAGCATAGTCAATAAACTATTGGTTTATTGATTTTATAAGCTGACAAAGCTGTATTTTTTTTACCCATAATGTTAAGTAAAAAGACTTCTACAAATAGAAGAAGAGAAAAAAAGAAAACAAGCGTGGTGTTGTAAAAAAAGATCCATGACAAACTGCTAAGAGAAATCTTAGGGATTTTTAACTTTATTATAACATGACACAACTATTTTCTATTCACTCACATGCAATACATTTCGGTATAATCTGGTAATGTGATTAATTTGAGTCAAATTTTTAAAGCATTAGGGTTTCCAGATTAATCACGAGCGTTACCGCGTTAACGCTGACAGCACTAGTTCTTACATTTCAGTTAAAACACAGATAAGTTTAGCTGATGTTGGCCAGAAATGTGTGCATAATTGTTCTCTTTGCCTGACTGATCTCTGTTTGGTCCTGCAGGGGGCGAGCTGGTTCACCTTCCTCCATACCTGCGCATGGACTTCCTGTTAAACCGAGGCATGTCCTGCTCGGGCTCCTCCAGGGGGACAGCGAGCGGGGAGCGGGCGGCCATGGGTCAGGCCTGTCTGGAGCCCCAGAAAAGCCGCTCTCTGAAGCGGCCCTCTCGCATGGCGCCCCCGACCCCTACAGAGGCCCCTCAGGCCAGCAGGGACCAGGCGGCCCAGTGGCAGCCTGGCTCCGCAGCCACGCTCCCCCACAGAGAGGGCTCGGAGCCGGCCCAGGCCGCCAAGCTCAGCACCTCCCAGGAGTCCCTGCTGGACTCGCGGGGACATCTCAAACAGAGCAGCAACCCCTACGCAAAGTCCTACACGCTGGTATAACAGCAGGGACCCGAGGGCAGGACTACGACTCGAACACTGGACTTAACACTCAAGTGCAGTAAAATGACCTTCACCACGCAGTTCTGTACATACGTCCACCCTCCTCCAAGGAGGGGGGGGGGTCACTTTTACTAATCTCCTTTTATTTATTTTAGAGCTTTCTTTTATTTCTTCTTTGTATTTCTTTTTTTGTTTCACTTGAGAAAGAATGCACTCATCGGAAACGACTCCAGCCGGAGTTTTGCCAAACTAATTGAGGTAGCATTATTTATTCTTGAGTATTGTTAATTCTTTATAATTAATAAGTGATTCTTAATTGTTAGTTGTCAGCTATTAATGATCATTAATTATCGATAACCAAATGATCTATTCTTAACATTAACACACAGTTTCATAAAAACCCGGACATCTTTTTTTTTCCTGGCGTGGAAGATGACGATTTGGAGTCATTTTTTTCCTATGGAATATCCTTCTGAAACACTGAACCAAACTCGGGAGAAATCTTTGAATGAAAGCAATTGACACCAGTCCAAACTTTTCAGCTGCTCTCAAATTGTTACTTTTTTTGAATAAAAAAAAAATCTATTTCCTATGGATGCATGGGGACTGACCAACTAAAAGACAATGAGGATTACGATCGTGGCTGGACGGCCCAGTCAGCATTTTGTCACACTATGAAATGATCCAATGTGAAGATTTATTATTCTTATTACTATAAATATATATATAAAAAGAGAAATCACTTTTATTTGTGGATATTACAGGGAATAATTGATTTGGTTAATAAAGTCCTTAGTCATGTTTGCACATATCTCGTTTTAATTAGGAAATGGAGTCTCTGTTGATCTTTCTCTGTGTCCCATTCTCTGATGGTGCAATATGAAAAAAGATATGAAAAGTATATGAAAACTATTGCTCTATACTGTACTGTAATGATGAAAATAACTATGTTGTGAGTATACTTACAGGGCCGGACACACTCCAGCTATGTATTCAGGTGTAGTTTACCACTGCTTGTTTGGTGGTAAATGATGTTAGCTAGAATAGGGAGGGTTTAGAGAACTAATGGTTTGCACTTCACAACACCCCGACTCAAGTGTGTCCAGATAGATCCCCTTACTCTCAGTGCACTAGGTAGAGTCTTCATGGCTCTCACACTCCTCAGTAGATTTACTGTCGCTGCATTGCAGTGACGCTCCTCTACAGGGAAAAAAAAAACGTGAGACAATCCAGCAGAATCCCCCTTCAAACCAAACCTATAATGTCTATGGGAAATATCTGAAAAAAAGAAGAAAAAAAGTGGATATACGTAAGAATCTGTTTTTGTTCCTGTCTACCCCGTTTCTGTTCTCTCTGTTTCTTTGAGTTAGTCTGAAGGGAGTTTGATCCAAAATGCTGTGAGGTCATTATGTCAGTTTCTATGATGAGTTTCTATGATTAACTGTCTTCATTATGATTATACATTTTAACGGAAAGAAAATGTCACTTTTTATTTTTAACATGAGTGTTCACCATGGTGGCACTGAAATAAAGAGAAACTAACACAAAGTTCAAATTTGGTTAATAAAATGGCTGTTCCCCAAAGTGTCCTCCACGGGTTTGACATGAGTGACTGTAGCGCTGGGGAGACCGAGCAAACACCCCCGACCCTCGCTTTGTTTCAGCACCCAAAGGAAGTCAGCAATGAAATGTTGTAATGTTGCTCATCTTCTGTGAATCTGCAGCCTCCGAGCCTGCAGGCAGCAGTTTCCTTTCCTACTCATCCATCCTCTTACATTCACTTTTATCAGACTGCTGTTTGAAAAGAGCAATTTAGAAACTGCCTCTCTGTACAGGTTACAGCCAGAGGTCTAAGAAGTTAAATATCAAGTTAAAAGTAACAAAACCTAATTGTTAAAATGTAAGAGGTAGAATATCATTTAATATATTTACTCAAGTGTTGTATTTTGCGGTGCTTGTAGTTCACATAAGTATTTTGTTTTTGCTGAATTTTGGAAGCTGATATTGTAATTTTTACTCAACTACATTTAGCTGACAGCTTGAGTTACTTTACATATTCTTATTTTTTGTTTATACAAAATAAACAAAAGATAAACGAATAAATAACCATTAACATGTCATTATAGGTTAAGATTTCCATCAGCAGTATATAAAATAATAAAAACTAGTTCCACCTTTCCCAGCTGTGAGGAACACATTAATGCATCAATAATCCAGTAATTTAATTGTAATTTAAATCAATTTTAATGTGATGTACTTTGTGATGTACTCATGCTTTACAAACTGTGTACAGTATAATGGACAATAACAGTCAAATCTGCTAACCATAACAAATTGGTAGTAAGTGAATCATCTTGCACATCTCTACAGTTTTTACAATTTCTGTATGTGCGCAAGCTTGCATGCAAGTGTGTGCGCTTGTACAGTTTACCTGTGTGGGGAAATATTGAAATGCACATCCAGCGGTTCTTTGTTTTTGCATATAATAGTCATGACAAGTGTATCTTCTGTGAATCTGCAGCCTCCGAGTGTGGGGAAATATTGAAATGCACATCCAGCGTTTGTTTGTTTTTGCATATAATAGTCATGATAAGTTAATATTTACACAGAGACATTCAAAAATACACTATCCTCAGACCACACCAATCCCAGACCTCCAACTTCAAGAATCCCACCCCCCCTTCCTCTTCACTTAATGACGGTGCAGTTCGTGACATGCAGGGAGACGCAGCTGACAGCGTCCTCACTTCACATCCTGCTTCTTTTTCTGGAACTTCCTGAACTGAGACTGGATGGCTACAGCGGCCTTCTCCGTCTCCGGGTTATCCATTTCGATGTCAAAGTCCTGGGGGAGGTTCTTCTTGTTCTTCTCATCTGTGCAGAGGAGAGGTGGGGGTGAGAAGATTGCAGGATGATATGTGGCATTAGCTTTCTGATCTCCAGAAGGGAGGTTTCTAAACCTCAAACTATTAACATTCTTAGAAGAGAGCATATTTGAGCCTACTCTATAAGTAATGGTCTTCTATTTTTCATATGGCTACTTCATGTGTTGTGCCACTGTTAGCATGCTAACATTAAAATGATCAACTTTAGCAGGTAAGCATTTTTCTTAGCACGTAGCTCAAGGAACTGCTTTCTATATTACTACATTTGTTTTGTTCTCTTCCGAATCTTGTCAATATCCCATAATGAAACTTGAGGTATTTGAAATGGAGGGTAAACTCTGGAAAGGGAAGCCTAAAACGGAAATTATTTTAGATAAACTTAACTTGTCAAAAAGTTTTAAATACATAACAAGAAAATAGATCATTCATCTCAGACGAAAACAGGCTAACACCTCTCCACAGTCTGATAGAGACAGGTAGAAAGTAATTATCTCTTTACAGTATCACTCGCAGACATATGGTCAAACTGCTTGTTTGAAGGACACTTTGTTAAGGGCTTGCTATAGTAAATGTTCAACCCAGTCTCACAGCATTTCGTGTTATAGTCACGACATTTAATCTATTGGTTCGTGTTCACCATCACGATTTTCCCCTTTTCTTCGTGTCACACAGAACGATTTTAAAAGCAATGTATTGCAATGTATGTTGGTAGTATGTTTCGTGCCTGCACCACGTCTTTTTGTCTGGTCGGGGGAAGCTGTGTGGTTCATAAAAGGATGTTCTTACTCAATATCAAGCCACGATTATTGCTTTTATTTTAAATCGTATAATGTCTGACTTTTTTTGCCGTCCGCAAGGGAAATAAATGGGGCTCAGCGCCTCATAATACTGAAATCTGTATTTTTTTAAATCTTTTTTTAATTGTGTGTTATTGGTGAGTAAATAACAGTGTGTTATTTTGAAAAGAATAACAAATTAGAAGGAAAAAAAGATTTAAAAAATACAGATTTCAGTGTTCTGAGGCTCTGAGCCCCATTTATTTTCCTCACAGACGGAAACAAAAGTCCG